GGGGATGCGCCTCTCACCGTCTCCTCTGGCCGTTCTGTTTTGCAGGAGGTTTTCGGTGCAGAGATGTGCGAGATGTCACCTGGGGATTTCTGCCTCCGAGATGGTCATGAGGGCCAGGGATTTGGTATATCATTTAAATTGCTTCACTTGCACCACTTGCAACAAGATGCTGACCACCGGCGATCACTTTGGCATGAAGGACAATCTGGTGTACTGCCGCCTCCATTTCGAGACTCTCATCCAGGGGGAGTACCAGGTGCATTTCAATCACTCGGATGTAGCCGCTGGGAAGGGCCCGGCATTGGGAGCGGGCTCTGCCAATACTTTGGGACTGCCTTATTACAACGGCGTGGGGACTGTCCAGAAGGGGAGACCCAGGAAAAGGAAGGGGCCAGGGCCCGGGGCAGATCTGGCAGCCTACAACGCAGGTAAGAGACCCCCATCTTCCCCTGGAGCAATTCAATGGTTTGTTTCTGTTCACTTCCAAAGGGGGATTTCCGTTTATTTTAGCTTAAACCGTTAATAATAGTTTAGCTGCAGCATAATTATTGAGATCAAGTGCTGTCAAACTGCAATTACAGAAGCTAATATGTTAGCATTTTTCACTTCAGCTGGAAATAAAATGTTTTGAAGCAAGGTCATCTGGTTAAGGAGGGGGAGAAGGGGGAGTGTAGCCTGAAATAAAATCTGGAAACCAGAGATTGTAAGTTAGCACTTCAGAGAGCTGTGAATTTTCTTTAGTAGCTACGCTCTCAAAGGCTGCTGATGGGTGAATTATTCTGCCCTTGTCCAGAGCTCTTGCACCTCAGAGTTTTGGAATGAAAGAGGGAGAGAGAGGAAGTAAGAAGGCGGCTGTTTCCCAGGGACCTGCAGCGGGAGGCGGCTGGGGGTGCTGGGCTGGGGGTGCGGAGCCCAGGCAGGGGCTGCAGGTGTCTGCGGGCAGCCCGAGTCTGCCCCTGCGGCGACAAAGTTGGGCGGGAGGTTTTGTTCGTCAGATGTGACTCGGAGAAGAGCCGGGAAACTCACAGCATCCCCCTCGCTGCCCCGGCCCCC